TAAGTACTTATTATGCCTCCAATAACATTCATTTCAGGTTTATTTATTTAGCGTCAGCTCATTGAGACTCTAGAGTATATAGAGTAGAGTTGCTGTAACCTTAGAGCCATTGGAGAATGTAGTTTAGAACTGAAAGGTGTCTCATTGCATCCATGAGCAGGCTTGACAAATCAAGAAGAAAAACCAGTGGCACAGCTGAGATGCCCTGCAGCAAGACACCCAGCAACAGATAGTACTTCCCTGTAGCTTATAGTTGAGCAAGTAAGGGCAAAACAGCACATACAGCGTTTTTTCTTTTCATGAGCTGCATCAAATTGTTTGGGGTTTTTGTTTTTTGCCTGCCTGTCACATTCGTTGCCATTTTTTCGTGTATCCATGTATTTGTCTGTCACTTTGTCAATGGTTAATTGACAAAATGTTGAGCATGATGAATAGGTGGTGATGACAACTATGAAAATGAAATGGAGCTGGGATTTCCTGTTTCGTATTTAGAATGAAAAGTGAGTAAAAGAGGCCATTCAACTAGAATCCATTTAGAAGTTGTTGACACGCTAGTATAATCAGCATAACCTTCAGCTTTATTAATGCAGTAAATGTGATATGTTTATGTTTATTCATAGATGCATGCACATGATGGACGATGTTAAAACGCGCTTGCAAAGCGAAGGTTTTGTCTCAAGCTGTGGGTGAAGTTGGCTGTGCAAGTAAACAATTTTTTGGCACAGCATATTGATTTTTCCAGAGAGACCACGGGTTAAAAGGGGCTTTATTGATTTGGCCCGTGAAGTTTTTATTTGTATGTGCTATGTCGTATCATTATGTCAGTCTTTCTGTCTCTTATGATTTATTCATGTCAGGTCTTTAACAACCCCGGTGCCATTCTGGAGATGTTGATTGGTCCTCAGAGGCGTGTGGTTTTAAGTGGCTTTGAAGAACCTGTGATGGAGTGGTCTTCTCAGGGCAAAGTAATAAAGAGCCGGGTGATCGATTTAATCCAATGACGGAAAAGAAAAAGTTGCGAAGGAAAAACTGAGTCAACAAACTGGATTAGTTTCTGCACTATATTGCGGTTACGAGAACTTTGTAAACCCTCTGGAATTGCCGGAGTTTCAGCATTGGTCACTCATAACATGTACTCTGTTCTTCATCTCACAGTTATGGACAAACAATCTCACTAAACTAAAAAGCACACACGCACTCTAACAGCTGTGCTTTTCATGTCTGTGTTAAATACACGAGAGTAATCATTCACAGTGCCGGGAAAAAGAGCACATGAAGGGACGATGTGCCGTGAACGAGGCAAAAGTCAAGAGATTTGGCCAAAACGATGCTAAACATCTCATTTGGATTTGTTTCTTCACACCAGCAACCAAAACCTCATCTGAAGTGTTAAGCATGCTGGAGAGAACATTTTGGTTTGGGGCTGTTTTGCTACTTCGCGGCAGGAAACCTTTGGAGCGATTGAGGCAACAACAAATTTAAAATTGTATGAAGAAATTATACAGGAGAATGTCAGGGGAGAAGCGTAGGAGATATTGGATTATGCAACAAGTCAGTGACCCTAAGCATACAAGAAAATCAATAACAAGAAGGTTAGAAAAAATATATATTTTACAATAACAAAGTCAGGGTCTTGACCTTATCCCATGAGACAGATGAGTGCTGCATGACCTGAAGGCGGATGATCAATGACAGCATATATTGATAAACTGAACCAGTTTTTGTTGGTAGCGATGATCCAAAATTGGTCATTGTTATTCATCTGGAAATTTCTGATGGAGGTTGTTGCTGTCCAGGGAGATCCTACAAGTTACTAAATTGATGAGTTTTTCCTCAAGTTTAAGTCTCTGACTGATTGAATAAGCTGGTTTGACAGATGTATGTCTGTAATTGAGTAAAAATCAAACCAGATTTTATGAGAAATTAATTAGATCCTATCGATTCCAAAAAGAAGCTACTTTCGGTTTCTACCTTAATTGCAAGGGGTTACCACAAGGGTTTGTATTTAAACAAAGGAATTTGTGTCTCCTCCTGGAATTGACCCAAGGATCTTGCATCATTAAAGCCAGAGCTCACAAAAATACAGTTTTGCCTCTTCTTTTTCAGCAGCCAGACAATGTTGCACTAATCTCCAGAAGGCGAAGATTTCAACTATGTTTCACAGTTGTTTTCTCTGGCATGTTTCTAGTTTCCTCACATGGTTTGCACCTGTAAAGCTGTTAGTCTCATAGCATCTTATTCCTAGCTGTTGCGGATCTGTGTTGATAGCCACTATAAAAGCAAAAGACAAGACTCTGACAGGCTAATAATAATAAAAAAATCAACAACCTGTCACTGCCTGCTAATGTACAGTAGCCATAAATGTGTGATATGCAAGGTGCCCCCTTTTAAAGACCCCAGACCCATTACTATTTTATTGCCAAATGATTAATATCTTTAACCATCTACTAAAAGTTGATGAAGCGCATACAATATGTGGATGCATGCTTGAAATTATTCGACCACAACAGGCTCTCAGCATTGATGATACCCGTTCAGAGTGGGGTTATCAAGTTGAATTGTGGATATGGGAAAGTGGGAAATGATCTTGTATGTTATTTTCTTTACACTTGATAATATTGCTGGGTGAAGGCTCAGAATTGACTTATATAATCATTGCGATGTGCATTCAGGACTGAGCGGCGTCTTTGCCTGAGCGATTGTAAAAGGCTCCCCTCAAGCATTTAAATGAGCTGGGTGACATTCCCTATTAACAATTGATTTTCAATGCATAGCGTTCCCACTTCATGGCATTTGCAATGGAGATGGGGTGATGCAAGTACAGCACGCATTAGGTTAGCATTCCTTGTCTGCTACTATGTGGACAAAAGCTTGAATTTATTCAGTACAGAACTTATAGGCTTGTGGGATAAGAGAATTTTTATTTATATTCATTTATTTATTTATTTTAAGGCTTGTAGAGTATTTAAGTTTTTCTAAATTCAAAGTAGTTCTAAAGGACAGAGCAACTTCTCCTGAAGGCAGTGCCAATAAATAAATATATAATAAAATAAATAAATGCATAAAAGATAGATACACTTTAAAAAAGACAACCCGGTGGGCAGATGTGTTAAGGGGGGTAACATAAATCTTCTGCGCAGCCTAAAGTTATGGATACTGTATGAACTCGTCTGGCAGTACTTGCGATGCATATATCTTGTTTAACACGTTTTGTTCTTGGCTGAAGCCTTTGATAAATTGCTGGCATGGGGGGGTTCTTTGACTAAATCCTTCTTGTAGTTAGAGTAACACCAGCTGCTTGCATTTTAATTATGATTACATTTCCAGGGAAATTCAAGAAACTTTAGCGTTTATTAAATCTGTATTCGATCTATTGCCGCGGTTTGTGCATTTTCCTTAATTGGGCACGCTTTGCATGTCTGGAGTAAAAGGTTAGCCTCTTCTCAATGATAAAAAGCCAATCCAGTTAATGAATTGGAAGTAGTCATTACTTACATTATTGATTAATCTACTGATGATTTAAAAAGAAAAAAAGTGAATTGTTTAACATGTCAAAAACAGTGAAAACTGTCGCAAATTTGCAGAATTTGGGTTCATTTCTTCAGGAAACTTATCATGACATCATTGAGTTTTTAGGAAAACAAGGAGCTGATTATTTTTCTGTTGATCGAGTAACAGAGCAGTAAAGAGTTCCTCTAGTTAAGTATGTAGTGGGTATGACTTCAGGATTGTGTGACTGTTTGTAAGGCTCAGTGCTTGAACTTCAAACGAGATAGAGAGAGATTGAATTTAGGGCGTTTATTGCCATCTTCAAAGCGGATTTGTTAGCCCCACATTTCACTGATTAGGCCTTTTTCCAGTTTTATTTTGGGTTGCATGACCCAGTAATTTCACCAGGTTGGAGAACTGTATGACCTTTTGATTGCAAGACTGGCAATTATGACAATTTCTTTACTTTAACAGGTAATGCATTATCTGTGTATTGGCATGTGTATGCTATTTGCATGCCAGTGGTGTTTGTCTGGTGGTCTGATTTTGAATTGACTCGGGCTTGGCAGCACATTATGCCACTGGACTTGTTTGTATTTAATCAGATTTACGGTCAACATTATTAATAGCTGCGGAAGAATGGAGGTAAAGGAGAAAATGAAGTAGAGGAGGAGAAAGAGGTGCTGCCAGAGAGATGAATAATGAGCTTTTTGTACCTCGGACATTCTCACTCTCTCTCCCGACATCTCCATCATCAGTGTATGCTTGCCTTTTTGACATCACTAAATTGCAGCATCCACATTTGAGTTGCTATCCGCAATGGATTTTGACAATAAACCCAGGATTTTGCATACACTGTTATTATTTCTCTGCTTTGTTTTTGGTTTAATATGTAAAAAAAAAAGAAGAAAAAAAAGGTCTGTTTGTGTAAACAGAAAATAGATTACAAGTTGTCTCTTCCTTGTTGATGGCACCCCAAGCTTGAAATTGCAATCTAAAGTAATTTTAAGGCTTGAGAATGAAGACCACAGACAGTTCAAGTTGTGTTGCAGGAAGCAGAGGTCCACTCATTGATATTCAGAGGCTCTATGAGTGAGAGCTGTAAACAACCCGAAAGCCCTGGAATTGGCGATCGAGGCATGTTGTAGGGCACTCACTCACTCACTCACTCACTCACTCACACCCAGTCTCCGCTTTCTTACAATGCTGGATATTCACATGTATTCACTTTCTTTTAGAACACTCACACACCAGCCGTGGCCGCACACGCTCGCTCTCTCTTTTCTCTCTTTCTCTTTCTCGCACTCTTGCTCTCTTTCCTCACCTTCTCTGGGTCTGCACCACCTCAGCAGCAGCTGGGAGAGAGTGCAGCATAGCATTTCAGAGCAGTGTTGAGGAGGGCAGGGCTGGCAGCGTGGCCTTGTGTGGGGCATCCAGTGTAGAGAGGGAATCTGCCTGCTAGTGTTAAGCATTTCTCTCTCTCTCTCTCCCTCTCTCTCTCATATCTGTAGATCTGCAAGCGGAGAAACAGCCAAGCTCCTCCTCCCCTGCCACTCAGGAACTGATGACAAGACTGGGCTTTTTACTGGGAGAAGGGATCCCGGGTACGGCACGCATACCTATGGACGACAAGAATGAAAAGAAGGTATTTCATTTTCTCCCTCCCCTCCAGCTCCCCACCGCACTACCAACAGCAGCTGCTGCCATCGCTGCAGCACACACAGAGAGATAGAGGACAGAGAGAAAGCACAAGGGGAGAAGCTAGTTGTGACAGTGTTTCACTTGAATGGATTTTTTTTTCTTTTTCTTTTCTTTTCTTTTCTTTT